AGATTATGTATCACTCACGGTGTGATATAATCATTAATCACTTTCAACATTTTAAAATAACTTACAATGATACAATTTGTATAAATAAAGGAACCTATTATAATACAATTTACAGCCAAAAGTCAAAGCGATATTTTAATGTTATATTTCTAAACACTTGAACAAGTAACGTGAGGAACTTTAAAAAATCAATTAAATTTATTGATGTTATTATTTCTCAAGGCGAACGGACATTCATAATATTAAGTTCAAGCTTGATAAAATAAAATAAATAATTATCTTTCAAAGCTATGTACTTTTTTTGTTGTAATAAAATTGAATTCACAAAGTTACTTTATGACATTAGCAAATCAATTGTTAACGTGCTTTAAAAGTGACAATGTGGTACAAAAAATTTATCTTTGAAATATTTACAGTGATGCAATTGATATCGTATATTCTCGTTGCACATTTAATATTTCCATCTCATGACATCTCCATTTGCATCAGTAACATGATAATACCAATAAACTGACCGGTTATTCGTTGATATAACGGCCACAATGCTATAAAAAATACGTGATGGACAATGTCCGCCATCGAACGAGTGGCCGATGTCCGCGATTCGTATAAAAGTTTGCATCGATTTGCATCTCGATGGAGCGTTCCTCTCTTTATTGTTTCACCGCGGATGATTGAGCGTACGGCGTTGAAGCGCCATGCCGGCGGCACTGGGGGGGAGGGAGGGGGGTTATCGTTCCCGCATTCGCGATAAAAAGCTGCTGCGACGTGAATTACTCTCCGCTGGGGTCGATGTAACATATCGCTCGAAATTACTTATCGTCATTACGTAAATGGCTGAATGCCTTACGGTCGTCGTCATAAAGAGTGAAGTAAACAGAAAGTTAAAATAATCGACCGCATAAGTCGCGGGAAAATTACCGCTCGGAATATGTGTATAATTAATTATTCATTAATTAAGCCATCGTCTCTACGTGGTTTAGCTTGCTGACGTTAAGCAATTAATCACGTCCGTGACACGTTGCTTATGATAAATGTCATACGCGCGAACATTGCAACGTTACACGCCAACCTACGTTACCTCGTATAAATGTAAAATAGAAAAGTAAAACATGTTGAATGTTGAATGTCAGTTAAATAGCTACTCATTTTCTTCGGTTAATTATGTAGGAAATTGAATTGCTGACAATGAGTTTATAATTGCCAAGCTCAGGCTTGATCTTCTTATTTTTCTCAACAAATTCAGGTACATTAAAAGAAAAATTTATGACATATCACAATATAAAGTAATCAATAGTGCAGAACTCAAAACGTTTCCAATCGGTAAAAGTTGAAGGCGTCACCCCTTCACAAGTGGCTTTAAGGTTGTGCGAGGTTAGGGCAATTTTCGACGTAATTCCGTTAGGGGGGCTTCAAATCGATATAATCAACGAACTCAGGGTAGCTTTAACCACCAGTGGCCACGCCGCACTACGACTCTTCCGCCCAAATTCTAAATCCTGCTTTAGAATCTTTTTCCAGTCGGTTCTAGATGAATGCAGAATATAGGATGCAGGATGAATCTTCCAATATCCGACGACTTTGCCATCATGATAAGCAAACGAATCATTTTACAATGCACAGTAAGATTTTATTTTTAAATAAAATGTGAAATTTCACAAAATATTAAAATGGCAAATCAAACTGTTATTTATTAATATAAGAAAAAATAACTCACTTCAACCTAGAAAAGTTAAAAGATATGTAAATGTTGATAAAATTGCAATATCAAAACAATTGTCAAATAGAAAAAAATAAATCTGAGTTAACAATTTTTTGTAGATTCTTCACCGGTAACTACTTTCGCAAAGTAACTTCATTACTTCATTAATAAAACAACAATGTTCAAAGATATAACACTTAAAAATCATCGCGATAAACAATGTATTTATATATAGCGATGCGTAACACTTAAAATATTTCTACATATGCAGACAATCATAAATACCTACACAATACGATCCATCGTTAGATCCCGACACAGCGTCTGAAGAATCTCACCCCTTCTTTCCCTTGCAAGTTCATCGCGATCACTGTACTGTCAACTATCCGCAGTAACACTCGACGAGAAGATACTGTCACGTCCTGGACCACGCAGGAACGAGTATTGTACTGCCTCGAGATTGTTCAGTTCGGAGACGATAGCGCAACCCTCGGCGACCGGATGGAAAAATGATGAAATCGCGATCGACTGTTTATCGGCTTCAAGACACGACGAAGACGAGCGTCTCCGGACGCGAGATGTGGCACACCCCGAGACCTAGACACTACTGAACCAGCCCCATGGCAAACCTTGTTAACGGCAGTCGACAACCAAGTTTAAACTTCGGGTAACAATTCCCCTACCAACTCACTCATTCTCTCTCTCCTCTCGTGTTCTCTCCCCCTTCCCGTTTGGCACCCAATCTCTCTCCCTTCTCTCTCTCTCTCTCTCTCTCTCTCTCTCTCTCTCTCTCTCTCTCTCTCTCTCTCTCTCTCTCTCTCTC